AGGAGCAGCTGGAGATCCTGGAGTACAACTTCTGCAAGGTGAACAAACACCCTGACCCCACCACGCTGTGCCTCATTGCAGCCGAGACTGGGCTCTCCGAGGAGCAGACCCTGGTGAGTGCATCCCCCTCACCCCTACCTTGGCACCAGCCCTGCTCCCCCTGCACAGCTCTGTGTCCCACAAACTCCCCCACATCTGCTGCCTGGCCTATCCCCAGCACTCTGTCATACTCCCTGCACCCTTCTGTTCCCCTACATGCTTCTTACTGCACCCCCTGCACTTCCCATGCTTCCCAACAATCCTGCACCCCCCTATGCCCCATATGCTCCATACTTGAACTCCCTGCACCAGTCTGCACCCCAACATACTCTTACTGCACCCCACACCATGACCACAAGTCTCCTCTTTATCTCTGCAACCTCCAGTGCATCCCTAACAACACACTGCACCCACAGAGCTCTACTGCACCACCACACCTCCCTGCACCCCACGTGGTTCTGCATCCCTAAACCACCTTCCCCTGTAATCATAGCCCCTTCATCCCCAGCCGTGGCATCCCACACAGCAGCTCCACTGGGATCTTTGTGCTCCCCTCACGCACCCAGGATCACCATACCCAACCTGGGCATGGATACCAGGCTAGTGACTCCCACAGCCAGAACAAGGGCACACTCCGAGGGTCACTGTGGAGCCCTGAATATATAACCCATGCATGCTGTCCTTTCCTTCCAACCTATTCCTGACAGTCGCAGGTACCCAAACCACTGCCGGCTTTATGGTCTGAAGAAAATACAGTCATTTTAAAACAGATAGATCCAACTGCTGCAGGATGTGCTGTGGGACATGCTCAGGCTGCGTACATTCCCTCTCACTGCAGTTAGCTACATCAGCGTCACCAAGCCTGCATGTCAGGCAAGCCTGTCAGCCTCCCCAGGAGACATACTGTCCCTTCACAGGGAGAGGCTGCCACTGCCTCAGATTTACACTGAGTTCTGTGCTCCATCTGGCTACCTGCAGACTATCTTGGGCTTCAGAAGCAGTCGGCTCCTACACAACTCCTTCAGGTTGTGGCGCAGCCAGTTTTGACACAGGTATTTTGTAAGCTACTAGACCCATAGCAGCATTGATGGGTATAAAAGGAAATCCAACCTGCTGAAAAGTTAGCAGCAGAGAACTGCCAAGCCTGGCTCTCTCTGGGCAAAGACAAAGGGATATTAGAGCCGAGCAGGTAATGCCAGCATTTAGCCTGTCCCAAGGAAGGATGCTGGTATTAACATCCATTGCATTAATAGACCTTAGCTGCAATGGAAAAGGAGACCCCTCCTTTACTGTGCTTTGATGACAGGCAGGTACCACTGCTTGTTTGAGCACCCTTGAAATACCTTTTCCTCCACTTCTTTTTTTCCTAAAGCAAGTTGTAAACACAGGGCATACATGCCCAGGACACATCTGGAGATGTCTTAAAATGTTCCTCGACAGCTATCTTTTTCCATGAATCCAGGGTGCTCCTAGGGATCTGGAGATGAAGGTGAGATGAAGGTCCTTAAGGACAGGATCAAGACTGGGATGGTGAGCTGCAAAGTGCTTGCATTGCGTATTACAGAGAATTATCACTTTTGACATCTGGAGTGCTTTATTGGCTAGATATAGCAGTCATTTTAATAAAAAAATCAGTAAAAATGAGATGCAAAGAGGTGGTGAGTCAACAGGAGACGATGGTTGAGGGCAGGAAGTGAAATTTTTGGGAGGAGGCGAGGCAAGCAATCATCTGACTGGATGCGATCCAAGGCAGTGCTGGTGCGAGAGGCACTTTGTAGAAAGCACCGTGGTTGTGTCATTACGAACCACAATGGCTTCAGAAATAGCCATGAACAAATATAGCAACAGAATGAACAGCAACAAAGCAAATCACAGGCACATTCCCAAACAAAAGGCTGAGCTGTGCTTCCGGGACATGAGTTATCTCTCTCTTCTTACGCAGGTAGCATGGCTTTACCCAGCTGCATTTTAGCTAACATTTGAAATTGCAGCTGCGTTCAAGTGGCGTCAGCAGCTCTGGGAGTTGGCTTAGAGATGCTAAGTTACTGCAGAATAACATAGCCATGCATATATTGCTTGAAGACTAAGATCATTGTAACTCATTTTTAAAATATTTTTGATCTTAGATTTGCTGAGAGCCACTGCTTTGTGACCCTTATCCTTTTTGAAGCAGGTCAGCTTGTGATTCCTGTCAGTTTTGGACCTGCAGTGATTGTTTCACTGCTCCAGCCATTTAAGCAGACACCATCCAGCATCTCCTTAGCCAATTTCTTACTCTGTTTGCAAGAAAAACTTGGACTCACAGCAATAAAACAAGAACTTACCCACACTCTCAAGGTCTGAAGCGAGCAAGAGAAATGAGTTTGAAAGAGGTGCACACATCAGTAACAAGACAGTTCATTCAGTCAGAAGCAACTCTCCTGCTGCCTGTACTGCTTGGGAACAGTGCAGCACCTTGCTGCAGATAGCAGCACCATGAGTTTCCCTCACCTGGTCCCATGTGCTGACCACATCTGCACCTTGAGCAACATTATTCAGAGGTTCACTCAGCCCATTGCACTCAATCTCTTTTCTTTTCTTTCCTCCAGAAATGGTTCAAGCAGCGCCTGGCAGAGTGGAGGAAGTCTGAAGGGCTGCCCTCACAAAGCGGGTCTGTCAGGGACTAGACGATGCTGCTCCAATCCCCAGGCCTGCTGATAATGATGGTGAAGCTCTTCAGAGTGGGTTTCCTTGGGGTTCTTCTGTTGCAATAGGTTTTGAGATGCATAGTATTACCCTGCTATTTAACGTAAGTTTTATTTAAAGTGTACATAACCAGGAAAAAGATATTATATATATGTGTATACAGCTTCTGATGGCTGCATAACCTACCTAGTGATTCCCATCCATTAATAACACAGCACAGAGCAAGGCAATCTCATGCCCTTGTCCCAGGCTTACAGAAAAGCTGCCATGAAAGGTTCAAACATAGAAGGGGAGGAAAAGATTTCTTTTGCTTATGTTCCCCAAAGGCAAAGTATACAATCTAGCTTTATATACCCACCATCCAGAGAGGAGGGCATCTGGAAAACAAGATGTGTTGTTCAGGTGATCTTGGTTAGCTCAAGATGCCCGAGTCTGCTCTGGGTATCAGCAAACCAAGTGCCTACACCATAATCAGACCAAGCCAAGCCTCTCTTGAATGTATTTCTCACATTGCTGTTAAAGGTCATCAAAGGGCAAGAATTGGGTTTTTGGGGTTTGGTTGTTCTTTTTTTTTTCCCAATGCTTTAATAAAAAAACAAAGTTTTTTGATGAGAGGAGCTGTGTTATGTCCCTGCTTGTGCTCCCTGCCCTGATGACAGGAGACAGACTTCTTCCTCTGGGAGAGCAACACTTCTCCAAAAGTAGCCTCAGTGGGCACCGTGGGGTTTCCCTCTTGCCACAGGGATAGCATGCAGACACGGGCAACCTCCATGGGTCCATCCACAGCAGCCCATACAGCCCCAGGCCTGAGGCAGCAGAGGCTGGTGTGCTGGGGTTCCCCCACAGGGTGGGGGGGGTCAGACTTCACCCTACTTCTGGCCATTTGTAAACTTAAGGGATGCAGTTGCACATGGGCTTTTGCACAGAACCCAAACTGTGATACACTGACCTGGTACAGGACAATGGATGGGATAAAAAATAACCAGCACAGTTGCTCAGTGACCTTACCTTGTTCAAAAGGGTTCAAAAATCCTCTGCTTAGTGGATTACTGAATCAATTAGTGGATCCTCTGATTAATCCTCTTGTGGTCTGTGGTGACCTGCTTCTATTCCTTTGGAAGGAGAATCGGCTTAACATAGGGAAGATCAAGATATACTGGCACTGAAACTGCCACATGCTTTCTTTTATGACTTTTGTCCCTTGCTCAAGAGCATCTCTCTTGCCTCAGTATCTATCTCCAGCCCCTGGCCAGTGTTTGGGCTTCCAGTACAAAGCACACCAAGCTCATAGGAAACAGACAAAAGTAATCTCCCTGTACCATATCCCACACAGGCTATTGTTCCCCTACAATCCAGCTGCCAAACTGTCTCACCCTCAGACCCAGCTGGAGCTCAGAATTTGTTCTGCAGAGTCTGGCACTCATATCTCTTTTCTTCTCAGTCTTTATCAAGGTGCCTTCTCCTTTACACTGAGGGGAACTTTGCTTTTTTAAATTAAGCTCCAAAAATCCCAATGCAGAACTCCGTTATTTTGCCTAGGGTTACACAGCTGAGTATCTGAACTGCAGAGGTTTAACCCACCTGTGTAACTTGTACCATAGATGCACACAAAGCAAAAGACTGGATCTGCTCGCTTTCCAGGCATTTGAGAAAAGAGGCCCCAAACTCAAGCCAACCCAAGGTACATGCCACCCCAGCATTTCCAAACTCTGAACTAAAGCTCTGTGCCTTATCAAATCCAGCCCTGGATCCGGAATTTTGCAGCCTTTTGTGTTTCTATTTCTGTCACAAGCACAAAACTTTCAGTGACACTAAGAAGATCTCTAAACTTCAGCATAAATTTTAAAAGCTCAAGGTCAGGAGTTGCATTGCCATCAACATGCTGTGTGCCGTTGGCTGTGGTTTGCCACACTTACTTACGTGAAAGAACAGTTCCTGTGCTGGCTTCTCCCAGCAGTTGTTTCATGACTTCTTTAACTATTACAGCTAAAAAATAAAAAGAGCTATAAAATCCAGACATAACCCATCTTAGGGAGAAAGGCTTCCCACATTAGGTCAAATTCTGCTCTTTTCCCCTGGTGACTATTTTGTGCTTATGCAATGACTGTTTTATTTAACTCCCAAGATTAGCCCAGTAAAAGTGGCAGCTTGTAAGAAGTGTTCCTGCTCAGTGCTGCAGTGCTCAAGTAGGTTTCCCAGCCACAGCACAGCCCGAAGAGGGTGATGTTCCAAGGGGCACAGTTGGCAGAAGCAGAGGGCTGTGCTTCTGCGGGAGCTCAGCGCTTAATTGGACAAGCCAGTTCCTTGATCCGAGCAGAACAAATTGCCTTCTTAGCAGACTCCTTCACAGTGAAGGCATTTGGGTTGAATTGAGTCAAGTTCATAGGAAGCCTGGGGGAGTGAGGACAGAGACGGTCAATTTCAACTCGAGCAGGGCCAGCTGTCAAAGCTGCCTGCCAGCTGACACACCTCCACCTGAGCCCTGCCCTGGGAGGACAAAAGCAGTCATGCCTCGGCTGCTGTCACCAGGACACTAGTGAGAGGGGGTCTCTCACTGCAGCTGCCACAGCCACTACCACCAGCTATTCCCTCCCTCTCTGTGAAACACCCTAGCCAGCACTTCCTGCAAGCCAGGCGGAGGCCAGCTGTATCATGCTGGGCAACATGAATGTGCTACACTGCACCATGTGTCAGCTAGTTGCTTTTTATAATTGTAGTTAATAATTACAAAGTCCCAGCCAGTAATTCCTACTGGAATTAGAAAGTTCCTATTTCTTCTCTTTTGATTCTCCTTCCACCTCAAAAGTGCTGTTTAAACCACAATCCATGTAGCAGTAGCACATACAGCCATATAAACCCCATGCATTTTGGAAGTGGAAAAGCAGTGGCTTAATCATACTGGACAAACTCAAATCAACAAGGTGCCATGGCCTGCACAAAATGGACTGACAGCTGATCATTTCTGCATAGCAGGGAAGCAGCACCTACCTTTTGCAAGGCTGGGCCAGTTCCACAAGCCTTGGTGTGGCCACTGCCTGCTTTGCAGCCTTTGTCACTGGCCATGCAGCATCCCGCACAGGCATATAATCAGGATGCAATCTTTTTGCCACAGCCAGCTCCAGGGTCCGAGGGCTCGCAATTGCCTCCTGAGCAAACTTGGAAACCTGTGGAAGAATAGGGAGGAAGGTCCTTACAGATGTTCCTGGCATTCGGTGGTGACCAGCCTGCAACTCAGTGTAGCCAGGTTCACAGCCACTGACCACACACAAGTGGAACATGATCCTGTCCATAACTGTATCTGACACCAGACAAGCTGTGGAAGGAGAAATCACTGCCTGGCCAGTCCCACAACCTGCCCTCCAGCCTCCTCTTGCTCATAGCCCATTATCCATCCCATCCCCCTGTACCGGAGATCTCAATTAGACACCTGTCCATCTCTCCGCATCCCCACAACTGCGGGCTAGGCACAGGTCTGCCCTTCTCTGGGGATGTGTGCTGGGAGTCAGTTCATGCTCTGGATGAAGGACAAATCCTGCTCTCCAGCTCAGGAAGCGGCCCCATCAGCCTCATTTGCAGCAGCACATCTAGGGCTGCCATGAAGAGAGCCCCAGTGAGTGAGCCCCTGCACCCTCCCCTTTGCCCAGCATGCCTGCCACGCACGGCCCCGGGGGGATGCTGCCTTACCGGGCGAATGGCAGATTCTAAAGGGCCATACTCGTAGCAGCAGGTCACCTTCTTGACCCGGGGCTCTGCCAGCTGCTCTATCCATGAGGATGCTCTGGCCAAGGCCGCAGCATTTGTAACCTGTGTTGGCACCTGCATGGGTTCAGAACGGGGGAGGGTTGTGCAGACACAGAGCTTGTCCACAGGAGCTCACAGGGACACACTCCCTTCTCCAAAGGGATAAGATAAGCATCCAGCACTCTCCCTCTGCAGACGTTGTCACAAGAAGGAGCACTTTCACTTTCCTGACATGCATTAGTTTTCTTTCACCTGAACTAGAAGGTAATTTTGGCACTATTGGGATTTGTATGCCTTAGTCAGTATTACTTTTTTCCCCAGCTGTCACCCATCCATAGGCAGGAGAGGATTGTCTGTAACCAGAGCCTGTGCAGCCAGGTGAAAGTGCAGAGAAATTTCTTCCAGAGTAATGTTTTTCATATTTGTCTTCCTGGCTGAATCAAATCATTTCCCCTGATAAGGAGAAACGCTTAGATTTCAGCATAAAAGTGCTGGCGCAGTTAACTGCATTCCTACAGCAAAAGTGATTACTGCTCCAGCATGGGACATCTTCCCTTATTTTTCACAGGGTTACTGATGCCAAGTCCTGCTCCAGCACAGCCCCCTTATGTCCCAGCCCAGAGACTGCATCCAGAAAACTTAGCCTTTGCCATGGAATGAGTGTAATCTGAGATTGCCCCAAGCCCTTTCACCCCTGCCAAAGCAATGACCTGCCTAAAATGAGCAAGTTCAGAAATATGTCTCTAAATCAGGCTTCTGGTAAAACAATGTTAAAATCTATATATTGTTTGCAGGCTTATGCCCCCTATATACACAGCACAGCTGCCCAACTGAAAACACAACTGTATTCCCTAGGAGCTAAACAGGCCATTCCCATCAGGTTTCTCCACTTTCCCAGGCTGCTTTATCAGAGGACATGCAGCCCAGATGCCTCCCTTGGCTCTCCTACTATTCTAAGCTGCTCCAGCCTGGCTGTTCTTTATCCCTCAGCAGGGAGATTTTCAAAGACAGCATCTCACTCCAAAAAGGCAATTTTTCTCAGTATCACAAACCCCAGCAGAACCAGACAGCTTCTCCCCTCCACAGCACATGCTGGGCACATCCAGGGGCAGGACACAGGGTGTAAAAGCTCAGGACAGTTTGCTGCATCACTGTCCCTTCCAACCTCACTCAACCAGCTCCTCACCTTTTTGGCCAGCTGGAACTCTGGGTGCAGCACCTTTGGCCGGGCAAGCTCCACAATCCGTGGGGAGGTCTTGCATCTCAGTGCCGCTGGTGACACAGGCCATGCAGGGGACATGCGAGGTCTGGAAGCAGAGAGGCACTACGACTTACAGATATTCCTCCACACTGGTTAAACGAGGCTGCAGCTGGGATGTTTAAGCCTCACATTTGCTGCAGTGAAGCTTTGTCTTGTGGCTATTTCCAGTGTAGAACCCATACATCCCATGAGAAAGTCCAGATGTCCTAATCCCAGCAGAGTCCCTGCTCTGCATTTTGCCCTCTGTTACACCCATCCTCCTTTTGTTACTTTAAAGCTGGACTGACTCTATAAGACCCCAAGGGCCTACGTATCGCACCCTACAGGCTCTGTGGCCTCTCACCTTTGCAGCAGGTAAGCAGCCTGGCATTGTTTAGGTTCAGCAAGCTTCAGTATCCGATCAGAAGGGAAGTGAAAATCCACTAGAGAGGGACGCTCCCAGATCGTTGATTCCCGTCCACAGCTGTACAAGTAGAGGGGCCTGAAGGAACAGCACAGAAGAGTTAGTAAAGGGCAACTGGCAGAGAATTTGGTCCTGGTAGATGGTATCCTAAGTTTGGTTAAACATCCATGCGTTACATGTACAAAAGTTGGCACTGATGAACATGGAAAAGCCATGAACAAATGGGCATTTACACTTGAGATTTCCTGACTTTAAAGGTAAATGCTGTTTGCATATGTAAAGTCCTCTTTTAAGCATTCTCAGTGCATTGCTTTCAAAATCTAGGCCTTTCCCTGAACCATTACTCCACAACACAAACCCAGCAGCATCTCTTGTTCAGCTCTGACAATTTAGAAACTTCTTTGTTGCAATGGGTTAACAGCCATTGCATCTCCTTTCATCATGGGATCTCCCCACACTTGCCAGTGCATGCTCATCCAGCTTTCCATCAGCCACAACCGTTGGAAGATGCCTGTCATTCCCAGGGAAGAGGTGAGCAGAAAGGCAGGAAGGGCTGTCAGGCAGGCACCATTAGTCAGAGGCAGAAGCTCTCAGGAGGAAGAGAACCTCTGAACTGATGACAGTGGCAGAGGAGAGAAGAATACAGACACACATGTCTTGACATCCCACCGGGTAGAGGAAAGCCAGGAGTACAGCACAGTTTAATCTCCATTCTCATTGCTCAGACTTCTTACAGACTAGCAGCCACCATCCTATCCCCAAAAGAGCTTCGTTCCCTTCAGCCGAGGTACAGAAGCTACAGATGAGTTGCTTCAAGTAATGCAGCATCACCCAGCACCACTGAAGTTCACATTTTTTACATAGTTCTTCACTCCTATACCCAAACACAGACTAGTTTTTCACCATGTAGTAACAGCAGAGGTTTAACTTAAGGCAAGAGATCTGGGTATCTACCAGCCAGCAGGATGTTGCAAGATTTCTCTGTTCATAGCACTTCCTAACCTTTAGCTTCAAGATTGAGGCCAAGTTCCAAGAGGATGCAGGGCGTCTCTAATTGTGTCCAGGTGACTGGCTGGGCTGCATCAGCCCCAGTAGAGACAGGGAACCCTCTAGGGACAGATAGTCCCTCTGTACACACAGCTGTGACACACAGGTTTCCATTAAAGCATGCATACACGCACATGATGTCTCTGCTTCCGTGTTGTCCTGGGTTCAGCTACAACAGTCATTTTTTCTCCTTCTTAGTAGCTGGTGCAGTGCTGTGGTTTTGACTTTCAGTCTGGGAACAATGCTGATAACACCGATGTTTTTAGTTGTTGCTCAGTAATGTTTACTCTGACCAAGGACTTTCTCAGTCTCATGCTTTGCCAGAGAGGAGGGGAAGCCAGGAGGAAGCAGAGGCAGGACACCTGACCCAAACTGGCCAAAGGGGTATTCCATACCACAGCACGTCATGCCCAGTATATAAACTGCGGGGAGTTACCCGGAAGGCCGAGATCGCTGCTCGGGTCGGGCTGGGTATCGGTCAGCGGGTGGTGAGCGGTTGTGTCCTTTTCCCTTGTTATTCCTCTTATCATTATTATTGGTAGCAGTAGTGGTTTGTATTATACCTTAATTACTGGAGTGCTGTTATCTCAACCCGTGGGAGTTACATTCCTTCGATTCTCCTCCCCATCCCTCCGGGAGCGGGGGGAGGAAGGAAGAGAGTGGGGGGAGTGAGCGAGCAGCTGCGTGGTTCCAAGTTGCCGGCTGGGCTTAAACCACGACACGTGTCAAAGCAGAACTGCTGACTGGGGTTTTTGTTATGGCAGAGGAATATATTCCCAAGTGCTTGGAAACTGAGATCAAGGCTGGTTCTTATGGCAGTTGATCCAAACCCAGAGCAACCACTACGTGTTGGAGAGGCCCTTCCCACAGCCAGGAAGTGGGTACAAGTAAATTAAAGGGCACCCAAACTCAGCACCCCCCAGTTCCTACTCATTTTGGAAGTCGAGCACTCTGGGTGACTATACTCCCATAGCACTTTCTTCCCTGCTACAGATGGCCCCTGTTTCAAGTACCAGTACAGCCTGGTGGGTCTCAGTGGCATGGAAGTCCCTGTGGGGCAGCGATGGCTGGAGATGACATGGCATCTCCCCTTCCCTGGACCCACAACATCCCCCTGCTTAGACAGCACCCTCTGAGCTGCCTCCTTCCCCAGGATGTGCTACCACATTACTGACCTGTAGAGGTTCTTGCCAAAATCTTGCTTGGGCTTGGCCAATTCCAGTATCCTTGCAGATGGTCTAGCTGTCATAGCACGCCATGAGATGGTCCATATTGTCTCTTGGTTTCCCCAAACAAGCCTAGCAAGAACAGCAAGGGTGTGAAATTTTAGAAATGTGCCCAGGTGTGAACTGTGCTTGCTGGGGTTATCCTTCCCTGCCTAGGATGGGACACACATACAGTCCCTACGGATCCCCCCACCTGTAATGTGCTGCTGCTGTTCCCTGAGCACTTGCCTCCTCTGGCAAGCTGTCCAGAGTTAGAAAATGTTTCCCACTCAAAAAGAAAAGAGCCTTCAAGTGGTGAGTCTGGTTTTACAACTACCAGTGGATGTACAGAAAGGGTCTTTTCATTACATCTTTGAAATCCCTGGGGGAGTTTCATGATCGCATTTTTCTTGCCTCACCATTACCACCTAACTATACCACAAGTATGACAGTAAAAATAATAATAACGTTATGGTCAGGGTGTGCCATGGAAAGTGGGTGAGGTTTTGCAGCATGTTAGTGGTTGCTCTCCTGTGCCCAGGGCAAATCTGGAGCTGTTCATCCCCCATTGAGAGAGAGGCCATGGTGGGAGAGGGTACCAGGGTAGTCAGGACAGGGAACAGCAGGGCAATGGGGTTGTGGGACCTTTTTAAAGCACAATGACACCCATACAGACAATGGAGAAGAGACGTTATCAAGAGGCTGTTGCCCTGGCTTAGCAAGCCTTAGCTTGACCACGTAATGCTGGCAGCAGCTCTGCTCCCAAAGCTGGACTGTATTCTCCAGGATGCAGCAGCCTGTGACTCCAATGGGGTCCAGTCTCCTTACACCACTACACCATCCTACCCTGCAACATCTCAGTGGAGCAACTCAGACAGGACAGCAAAGGCAAGACTGGGTCAAGCCCAGGTCTTGGGCTGAAAGCAAGAAAGAGCAACTCAAAGAGAGCCCCTCATGCACTGAACGTCTCCACCTGGATTTTTGGAGCGACTCCTGCTCTTCAGAGGAAAGCAGTCGCAAGACAAAATCAAAGGGTCTGCACTGGCTGAGGTCCCATCAGTCCCCAGCCCTCAAGCAGGGCTGCCTGGGCACCTCCTTACTTGGGGTCATTTGCACAAGCTGCTTTCTTGGGTTCTGCAAGCTCTCGTATCCTGTCAAAACTGCAGAAAAGGACAAACATGCCATTAAACATACACTTAAACCAACAAAGCACAAAGAAGCTACTGGTGTACTCAAACCCATGTAATACACTCTCGAACCCCTGTCCCTTTTCCTCCAACTCTTGTGAGAATGCATTCAAGGGATCTCCCTCTCCAAGTAACTTTCCATCCACTTAATCTGGTGAACTCACCAGCCCATGGATTTTTGTGCTATCTCTTCAATTGCAGAGACACAAATTTGCAACCCCAGCAGGTAGGAGATGGATGATATCTCCAGCCTACAGGAGCCCAGATGAACAGAAAACAGTCTTGTGGTTTACTCAAAGGCACCATGGAGACTTCCCACAGGGCTTTAGGAGCACAGGTGAAGCTGTATTTTTTTATTTATCATTTTATTTCAGTCTGTTTAGGACAGGGCTCTTAGATGCTATAGAGACTCAGGAACATGATCTGTGCCCTAGCAGCACTGAAAATCATAGAATCGTAGAATAGTTTGGGTTGGAAGGGACCTTCACAGGTCATCTAGTCCAACCCCCTGTAATGAGCAGGGACATCAACTAGATCAGGTTGCCCAGAACTACATCCAGCCTGGCCTTGAATGTCAGCTATGGAAATGCCCCACCATGGAAAAAGCACAGAAGGCGAAAGCCTGGGGCATTGCTTCCCTGCTTATTATCATCTGGCAGTAAGGCAGCATAGCCCTAGAGAGGAGTGGGGACACAGAGAAAAGTGTTTGCTGACAGAAAACAGTCTGCACTGTGGGGACTCCCCTGTGGTTTCTCTAATGGGGCTGATATCCCTACCTGAGATGCCAAGCCCCAGCAAATGCTTCCCAGAGATCTTAGCACCACAGAGACCCTTGCAATAGCAGGCTGCTGTTAGAGCATCAGATGCCTGCGGATTTATCTCCCTGTCATGCCTAACTGCCGGTCACAGCACTGCAAAGAGATCCCACAGAGGGAACTGCCTGTAGGACTTTGGCCCTGTGCCACCAGTTCAAGACAGGACACGCTCAGGACAGCAACCCTCACGCCAGGAGCCAAAAACCAGTTTCAGCTGTTCATTCCCAAGCAGGTCCCCAGGGGCTTTTCTATGCAAAGGTGCGAGGGGGTGAAGGATTACCACAGAGAGGTTTCCCCCTCAGCCTAGCTATGTTGCATAGCTGGCACTATCCCTGCAGGCAGGCTCCTCACTTCTCCTCCAGCACTGGCACAGACCCACCACATAGCCACAGCCAAGCCCAGCACAAAATGCACATGGCCTTACTGACCCACACCACTGACTTGGACACTGCTGTGCAAAGTTTGCATTGTGACCCAGCCAAGGAACAAGCCACATGTATGTCAAGATCAGGTCCCTCGACTCACTCGACAACTGTCAAGTATTATATTGTCTTTTTCCAGTTACAAAAAACCTATTATTTTCTACTCTTTTATCACGGCAAAAGCTCTGAACACACAGGCATCTCCGCACAACATGCACCTGCAGCAGTTCTGCAACTTGGCTGACAAGGGGACCGCCCTTGCTGTCTGGTTCCACCCATGCTTCCCAGCACAGAAAAGGCGGCCTTGCTGCAGCCAGGCACAGAAACACCTCCCTTCTGCGCCTGAGCATCTCACAGACTCACTTCTTAGAGGCAAATCATCTCCCTCTGAGATCCCTTGTAAACCAAATGATCACAGCTTCTGCTTTGAAGGGGAAAGACCTGTCAGACATTGTTTGACACAAGAAGCAGGCGGAAGAGCATCCTTTCCTCTGTGTGTTTATCACGGTGTCATCTGACATATTGACTCGCTGCCTGGCGTAAATCCCCGACCCAGCCCTCCCTGCAAGACCCAGGGCATGGCCTGGATGCCCAGCCAGGAGGCCAGGCCTGGGGGGTTCTTACCTGTCATGGGAGCATGCAGAGAAGTAACAAGAAACTGCAAAGACAAGAAAAGGTGAATTTAAAAACTTGGTACCACCTGCAGCCTGGACTGCCTGCTCTTCAGTGTGAAACAATCACAGGGCGGGTGGAGTCTGTGAATGTCCTCACGATAGGATTGCCTGGCAGGTGTTTGTACTGCTTTTCCCTGGTACCTTCCCGGGGCAGCTGCACAGTGATGCACTTGCACATGAAATGCTCCTCACCACGTCCCCTCACCAGCATCCTCCTCCTGGGATGAGCACTAGGTACTGCTAACCCGCGGGCTGTCCCCTGCTCAGCCCTTATTACTGCCTTCAGCGCGGAGAGCCTCGGGGGGCAGCGACTGTATTAGACTGGGACCGCGCAGCAGCACAGAACAAGCCGCCATGCTTTAAAAGGGGGCACAGGAAAACTGCAGATGCCCTGGGGAACCCAGGCACGGTTCCGAGGATCCACCTGCTCCGGTGGCGGCAACGGCCGCGCTGCGGGCTGGCATCGCGTTGCCGGGCAGGCGCTCCGGTGGCGCTATGGTGCCAGGGC